GCTGAAAATAAAATAGCAGGTAAGTAATTAGAATGGGAAGCACAAGATATACGTCTTATAAGATCCACTGCATAATGTTTATTGAATACACCCATGAAGAGCCGATTTAGGATTTCAAGTGCAACAGAGGCGGCGATCCATCGTGGCCTGGGACTGCTATGTCCCAAACAAAATACTAAGGAAGTCGATCGTGTTGCCCGAGTTGCCACTGGGCACCACAGCATCTCTATTTCCGACCGAGTTTAAACACGGCATGTAAAAGATTTGTTTGTTTAACTGGTGGTTTTTCAGGGCCTGCAGTTAAACCCTTAAAAACAGCTAAGCAACTCCCAATTTTCTGACGCAAGTAAAATTAAAATCGAGAGGTTTAATTTTAATTACCTTGCATATTTTCTTTCTTACATCGTCTTTGTATAACACATGTTACTATAATTGAAAATCGGTTCGAAAACACATTCGTTCATTCGTTTGAAATCGTCTTATCATAAATATTTCAAGTAGGTGAAATTTCTTTCAAACCCTGGTGCATGAACACTTTAAAGAAGATATACTTTCTAAAGTATGGAAAAATATATTCAGTACATTCAGTGCAGTGCTCAAGTCTTAGATTTTCGCATGAATAGTGTAATTCTTTGCAGGTATGTACAAATCTTGGTACAGAATCGTGATTTGACATGCCAACTTTTATGGATTAGTTATTCGAATTTGTATTATTAGTTATTTGTAACAATTTGTAACTTTTTGTACCTTAGAAGCACTATGCTCCATTTTCAACTAAATGATTACAGTTACTCGTTACCTTGCTCACATTATACTTTTCATAATTTTCGCGGCTAAATATTTGTTGGCTGAAGTGAGTCATGACGTTTGTTCTAAACGTTTAGGTACGAACATTGTATAGAACCTTTAACGCCATAAAGTTCGTACATCTTACATTTTTTTCAGTAATGTACATGTTCAGCAGAATAAAGTTATATAATGGCTGTTTCTGAAATTGAAAACGATCTCTAATTATAGGCAGAAAAACAAATGTCTGAATGTACGATGTAATCAAACTTTTAAAACTTTAATGTTCTAAAATTTCTTAAGAGATAATAAATTCACACAAAGTGATATATAGTTGTTTCACAATTAGGGATTAGTGCAATAAAATGTGATTAATGAGACTACATACACCGTTGAAACGAACCAAAATTTTTATCCATAATAAAAGAGATAAATAATACGGCATGACGTCTAAAATAGCGGCCAGTTCTCCCGCTGTTGGGCGCATTTTCTAGGTCACCTACTGGCATTTCAATTTTATTCGTAGGTAATTCCACGAAAATTTAGGCTTTCAGCGCAAGAGAAAAATAAAAAAATAAACCTAATTAACCGCTCCAATTGTGATTGCATTTTCGAAACATCAATGTTGTGGCGGACAGAAAAAAAACCAAGCGTTGTAAATTTAGTTAATGTCAAGGCGAAGAATATGGTTCCCAATATACCTTTACGGAGCAGCGACTGAAGAGAGGCAGTGCATTATCGTTCTGGACGTCAACAAAAAAGTATAATAGCGTTGAGTAATGTATTCAGATATTTGCATGGACCACCTTTAGCAAACTTCAACCATCAATTTTTATAATGCAGACTATAAGCTGTTTTCTACAATTATTTTTCATGTATGATGGTGAACTAAACGCTTGTCCTAAATATTGCAAAATATATAAATCCTCTTTAAAAATCAGAGTAGGACTGAAAGTTGGTTCCTTCGCATTCTTCTCATTGTTTTCGAATGTTTGAAGGGATTTGCTTCAAAAATCTTGTGTTCGAAATCAGACTTATAAAAGGAGGGCAATATCTTTGGAGGGCAAGATCTTTATCTTTGGGGGAGGGCAATAGTGCAGATTTCGTTGCCTAAATTTACGACATTGCTGCTGCTTTTGCAGTACAAACTTATTCATAATATTACATGATTGAGGAGATACCTTTTGTTTGTAAGCGAAATAATCATCGAACATTGTGTATTTTAAACATTGATAATTAACTATATGGCAATTTTAGGTGTTCTGAAATTCACGCCAATTTTTTACAAGTAATTTGTGATTATTATTGCTTTTATTCAAATCTTAACAGTCCAAATAGTCAGCGGCGACAGAAGGATCCATCAACTGGGATAATACAAATAAATGCTTTAATTGGAATTGATCCAACGGTGCAAATTCCATGTTCTCTCATTCATTTACTTTGTTTTCCATGCCATTTTGTTCGTATTCTGTGGCTTGGCAGTCGCCGCTCCTCAGGGGGAGCGAATAGAAAATGTGTCGATTCTTGCGGACACCAGAAATGGTACCGACGGAGTCGGTGGAAATTTCGACTTCAAGTAAATTTTTTTTCACCGTGAACACTTTATTTATTAAGATTTTGTTTCTTCAGAATACTTTCCGATATTTTTTCCCGTAATTTAGCTAGAAATTTTGAATCTAACAAGAGGCAGGAGATTCATTTTTTTATAAATTATAGAGAATAAAATTTTGTTGAATTTGTCTAATCAATCAATTTTTGCCTTTTTATGAGTGTCTTCGGATGAATAAACTCAATTCGTCCCTATTTGTGTTTATGTACGCTTGCTTTGCTTGAGAACCAGTTTATGTACGCTTGCTTTGCTTGAGAATTTCTAGTAGAGACATGCTGGAAATTATTCCGCAATATTCGTCAGATACGAGACTGGGGACGTCATCTTCGTCGACGAACTCTGAACTCTGACGGCATCCTCAGAGTTCAGGGACGTTACTCGTGAGTGCGCTGAGGGAGGGAGAACGTTTTCATGGTGGCGGGCAGCTGGAAAGTTTGCAGTGTTTTTAATTTCTAGAATGTTTCGGTAATGATGTTTCAGCAATATGAGTGGAATTATTTTCACGATTAAATTGATAGCATAAGAATTAGGTATGTTAATTTTTATTGGTTCAAATGAATTCACAATAACTTACTTTTCGATGATATCGTACGAAAGCTGATTTCTGAACTATTGATGAAAGCTAGAATTTAATGGACTATAATTACTGTCTAATTCGACTTTTACGGCTTTATTGCTGCCTATAGGGCGCTAGACGACCTTGAGCGCTAGAAAGTAACCAAAGTATGGGTAGACTATAGGTGCAAGTTTTTGCACATCGCATCTTACCGATAATGACGGTCTGCAAAGCGATGGTCACGAGCCTTGAGCTAAGATCATACCTTTTCAGCCCAATAATGAACTAACTAGAATTTAGAAACTAACTAACAAATGGCCTTGAAACGGCACTTCCTTTACATGGCGTGAGATGAAATATATTCTACTGAATACTAGAAATGAAGATGAAGCACCTTAACTGCATCAAAGAACCATACCTTTGTAAAATTTAATTTCATAAATTAATACGGGTAGTACCATTAAACATTTTTTATTTGCTGCATGTTACTGTAAATGTAAATGCTGCATGTTGCTGCTGTACTGCTGCTTTTGTCAGGGCAGTAAAATCAAGTTGCTCTGGATTTAAGATTACCCCTTTCAGGTATGACTTTAATTAGTCCTTAATCCTATACCATTGGCTTTTTTGCTCTCTGAATCCTGCTTACAATTATTTCAGGAACACCTGCTTGGTATTCTCCATGCGATTGAGTTGTGGGGGCCATCGCAACTGCATTTTGAGGATCATGGCTTCAATGTTGGATCTGTCGAATACCTCCTGATAGGCGATAAGGTCTTGCCCCCGGATCCTCATGATTGACATCAGAGGAATTGCTCCAGCAGGTTCACATGTTTCTAGTACACATGCAGCGTTCATGCATCACAACCGCGCAGTCAAGAGATGAGGACCGTTGCACTAGAGCTTACTTGAGAGGCTGACAATGCTGTACTGGGGCCATACTTTCAAAAAAAGTTAAGAGATCGTAAATTCATTAGCCAATCATTGACGGCCTTTCAAGCAAAATCCACCAACCATAGACAAGAAAAGTGAGCGTAAGTACTTACGTTCTGGAGCGTAAGTACTTACGTTCACTTAGCGAATTTTGAAAGTATGGTTCCTGATCGAAGGACTTTAGTGCGTAACTGGCTGACTGCTAGGCTGGCCTTGTGAATCCTGTCATTGATTCGAAGTCCAGGGTCACGTCGCTGGCGATGCTGATGCCCAGGTTTTATACTTAAAGGTTTAAATTAACGTGAGGAAGGTGCATCCATCAATGTTAATGGTAACATGGCCACGATATGATGACGTAACATAATCACGATATGATGATGTAACATGGCATCGCATCCATCGTATTTTTCGGCAAACGTTTATTTGTTATAACTACGGTTAATACGCAAATTGTTCGAGAATATAAAATGCCTTTACCAATTTTATAGACTATAATAAGGATTATAATTAATCATATTCCACGACAAATTCTTACGAATGCATTTGATTTTATTAAGCTACGCACAGAGAGAAGTCATTTCAAGTTTTATTATATTAACATTGAAATTAATTACTTTCCCCATATTTAATCATCTAAATATTTATGTCAGAAATAAAATAAAAATATTGATGATAACGAGGCATTGTGGTTCAAAGAGAATAAAAATCACGAAATATTACAATTTTTGTTTATTTTGATTCTCCATTGATTTTATAACATTTCAAAATGAAAAAAAAATCGAAAGCTATTATGTATCCTTTCGAGGATATTAGGTGACGAATTATTCACTTCAGAGAAACAAATTACAAATAATGCCTTTATGGAAATATTAACTATAAATTTCCTCATTGAAATTTATTTTCCCCACAATACCTACATAGCTAAAAAATACGTGAATTCAACATGAACGAAAAACCAAATCATTTCCAATCACAAACTACGAACGTGAAAATAAATAAATATAATTTCCAAATTACGACATTTTGGCTCTGACCAAAATAAATGATGTTCATAGAAAATGCGAAAAAAACATTTAAAAATTATTTAACACTAGCGCTGCCAAGCGATTGGGAGGATATTCAGCCAGCGCGGTCTCCGTCTAACCGACGGACGGATGTCCTTTTAAGGCTTGGTTTCCCTGCAGTGGTAGGGTTTCTTCTGCACAAACAGGAAAAAATAATTCCGCGGCTTGTTGAATTATGCAAAGCATTTGTTTTATTAAAAATTTAAAAGCAAAGAAAATAGCCAGAAAATTCACCATTTCTTAAAAAGGAAAACGTTTCGGAGACCAGCTCCATCATCAGTTCAAAACCTAAAACACAGGTACAAACAATTAGCAATAAATTCACATTGATGCATAAATCGTCAAATGAGAAACAAACAAGAATGAAGCAAACACGGGCACAAATCTATCTATTTACAATTTCGAGGGGATATGAACTATTAGCGGCATTTAAAATAGGCTTTTGTTTAAAAATATAAAGGGACTCTAGAATTCGCAAGTCGGAAACACCGGTCGTGGAGGCTAAAATTCGAAAATCACTATCGGA